GACTTCCTCCTGTCTGTGAAAGTCCATGTTTGCTCTAAGGTCCTGTATCAGGTCAAGGATTCACAATGGTTTCCTCTGCTCTCAACTCCGGCAGCAGTCTGAGGGCCTGTGCTCCTGAAAGAGAAGAAGTTGGTTGGGACACAGTGGTAGAGAAAGCAGTCAAGAGTTTAATCAGAGCAAGGAAGGAAGCAAGAATATACTCCTTGAAAAAGAGCCATCCAGATCTAGAGAGATGGCTCAGTGGTTAGAGCACTGATTATTGTTCCAGAAGAGCCAGGTTCAATTCCCAGCACCCACATGGTGGCTCAAGACTTTCTGTAACTCCAATCCTAGGAGATCTGACACCCCTTTCTCTGAAAATCTTCTGGAATCAGGCATGCATGTGGTACATAGACATATATGTAGACAAAACACATAAGTCAAGAAAATAAAACAAAATAAAATAAAAGGTGAAAAGGCCGGGTCAAGCTGAATAGTCATGGTCTCGGCCTTGACAAGTGTGGGCCTTATTCTGCTGTATTCCCTGTACGGTCCTTAGTGTCCTTCCTTGTGTCTCCTCCAGTGTGGACTTGAAAAGGTGAGTGTTTCCATCAGATGTCTGTTTCACCTAGAATTCAGTGCATGCTTAGCTGTGTAACTGCAAGAATTCGCATGTGCTTTTAAGCACTTTTAAGTGAAGTTGAGAAGTTTACTAGGGGGAGGGGAAGAACACTGTGAAAAATCCCCTGGGGAGGAAGTCATAAGTTGCTTTATTCTGATCTCCCTATCGTGGACCATTAGCCTCCATTGCCCCTCATTGTTTGGGGGGTCCTGAGCCGACACATCTGGATTTGTCCACCGTCCCTTATCATTCTGTATCAATGTCAATCAACTACCCTTTTCAGGACTTCGAGCTTGCTTTTGTCTGCCAACCTTTGAGCTGGTCCACCCATTCTTTATGTCTTGGTTTTGGGGGCCTATTGGTCCCTCCTATTTGCCTAACAAATGGGGAGCATGACCATGTGTGAGTTCAGTGACTGCTAAGTCCAAGATATGGCCATCTAGGACAGTTGCTGGACAACATACGCCACTGTTAAGAGCAATGCCCCATTTGACGCCGGGAAGGCAATGCATTCCGGGCTTGCTCTTCCTGGCCTGCACCACCTCAGCTCGTAGCCTCTCTCAGTCTCACTCACTCCTCTCCTCCACACTTCCACTCTGAACTGTGATTCTTCAGCCTCCGGGTGTGTTTTCCCAGGTAGGACTTTTATCTCCTCAGTCTGGTCATGGCTGGATTCTCTTTAGTTTGTAATTCTTCTTTGCACCCAGGGGCTGGGCTGCTACAAGATTGGACTTAACTCCGCCAGACTTAGCATCTGGTGAGCAGAGGCATTTCAGAGCCAGCCTTGCACTTCTGCAGTGAGAAATTCTGCATGCTGCATCCCCACCGGCTAGACGTGCAGGAAATCTGGGGAGACGCTCTGTGACTGTCCTGTCCTGAACTGGGTCTCCTGGCAGCTGTACTCTGCCTTCATCATCTAATCTGCAGACCGCTGACCTTGGAAGGGCAAGGGTTGCTGTAAATTTGATGGCCCAGAGTCACCTTTGGCCTTGACTCAGAAGAGCTGCACCCTAAAGATCCCCTGCCTGTGTGTGTCTGTCCCCTTGAGTTCTCATCTGCACTCCTGCCCAGCTAGTTTTGGCTTGCTGCCGGGGCAGGAAGGAAGTGGGTGAGCCTGGGAGGGATTGATTGGTTCAGCCTAGCAGCAGCCCAACCTCCTACACAGCTCCTGGCAGTTAAGAAGCAGGGGATAAAAGCATTGCACAGGACGGGGAGAGAAAGTCTTGGGGTACAGGCTGCCCCTGAAATAAGGTACGGGCCTGGGGTGTGAGGCAAGAGAGGGCCCTGACGTGGATCAGAAAGAGCTTAACAGTGTTGGGGTGGCTTCATGGAGCCTACTGGTATAAGTGACCCTAGGTTCTTGGTAACTGCCTGGGGCCAGTCGCTTGTGCCTGAGGCAGAGCTACTTCAGACCAACCAGCTCTTGTCTGTGTATCCCTTCCCTCCTGTCTCTTCTCTCTCTCACGTATCCCCGGGTGGCTGTGGCTCTCCCTCCCCTTCCTCGCTGTGGTCCCAGTCTCTGCCCTTGCTCAGGAATTCGGGAGTTTCCCAGTCTCTCTCCTGCCTGAGCCACAGAATCTCCCCGTTTTTATCTGCTCTCCAGGATGTTGCAGATGAGTGTGTCTGGGCTGGTCCCGGCTTTCGTGTTGGCTTCCCCGTGGCATCTTCTGCTGCTTGGAGCGGCTTCCTGGCTTTTGGCCAGAATTCTTGCCTGGACCTATTCATTCTGTGAGAACTGCTCCCGCCTCAGATGCTTCCCTCAGGCCCCTAAAAGGAACTGGTTTTTGGGTCACCTGGGCACGGTGAGTATGGCAGCATATAGGACTGGGTGTATCGGGGTGGGTGTGTTCCCTAGGAATCAGGAAAGGTCCTCAAAGAACTAGGGGTCAGGAAAGGTCTGAGGCCGCGTGAAGGTGGAGAGGCAAAGCGAGCCCCTCACTCCTCCTCACACCAGCACATGTATTTGCCTTCCTGTCACGTCTGTGCTCACAGGCCCTTTTCTTCTCCTTACCTGGCACCAACCCTACTCTGGGTCACATTCTCACCAGGACTGAGACTTCCTCTCATTCTTGGATGCTTGTCCTATTCGGTGGCTCCCATGGTGCGCAGCACAGAGCAGTGTTGTCCCTGGTGTATTCGGTTCTCACTGTTGGATTTGAGGCCATCCTGCAGTATGTCCGTGGTCTTGCCCTGCCTGGCCCATCTCTCTTGATTTCAGATCAGGATCTGCGCTCTCTGGGTTGCTACCATAGGAGTCAGCTGTGATTTCTTACCTTCAGCAGCAGGAGCTCTGGGGGAGTAGAAAAGAGACTATAGTTTCTCTTCCCTCCAACCCCTTGGCCCCTCCCCTTTCTGGTGGCCTGTCCTGAAGATGCATTAGTGGGCTCTATTATCCAATCTAGGTAAAAATGGAACACTTTTTAACATTGGTAGTGATTATCTGAATTACCTAGTATTTGTGCATGCTAGGCAACTAGTTTATTCCAGAGCCACACCACAGCATGACCACTTTATCTCTGATCTCAGTCATAATAGCCACGCTTCCTGGGGGTGGGGAGTTCCTACCCAGCACCCTCCCCGATCCCTGGGTCCCCTTGCTCCATGCTGCTCTTGCTCCCTATTGCAGAACCACAGTTGGGTTTCAGTGCCACTCCTAATATAGATATCCCCTCCAATGCTGTTCATTCAAGTACTGCTCTCTCTCAACAGAATCCTCTTTGCACCAACATTCTCATTTACCATCTCTCATCCAATGTCCCCTCAGCATCTCCATCCCTCGTACATCCTAACTTATCAGCTTCCCGACAAACCCCCTTTCATCTCCACCTTAGTTCAGATTCCCATCAGAAGTCATAGTTCTTGACAATTCAATTTTCCTTTAGACATTTGGAAAACTGTTGCTTTTGATGACTGCAGACTCCTATGTTTCCTATGTATTATCCATAGTGATGCTGTCCAGTCAGACAACATGTCAGCTCCCATCTGTATACCTCCAATATGCCTCTTCTGCACTAGACCTCCAGTCTGCTTGCTCTGTCCTCTTCTTATGGACCAAGAATTATCTTCATTGGATGTCTTTTCCTGGTCTGCCTCTCTTCTCTGTCCCACTTGTGATTTCCAGGTCCCTGAATCCTGGCTCGGTCTCATTCACTTCCTCACAGTGTTCTGGTCTGTTGACTTCTCCATCTTTCCCAGAAGCTCCAGTTTGGTCCAGGATTACATCTTCTCTGTTCTCCCCTGAGCTCCCTGAGGCCCCTCCCTCTGTGTCCACTTCTGGGTCCTCCTTCCCCAGACCTTTCCCCATGGCTCCCCTGCCACCCTCTCCTGTCTTCCCTCCTCTGTCTTCCTTAAAGTTGTCTTTTTACCTCAGGGTCCAGCTCCTGAGTTGGCCATCAGTTTCCTCCTTAGATGACTTCCAAGTTCACATCTCTCCTAATCTGGGAACCAAGATTTGGAAACCTCGACGATTCTTTGCTGCAAATCTAAGGAGATGAATGCCTAGAGCTGGTGTTAATGGGCTCTGCTGGAGTTAGGGACAAGTGAGAGAGGTGGGTGGCATGGAATGATCTATGAGTACACTCCTAACTGGAGTGGGGGATTCAAGGAATGAGAGAGGGAAGAGGAGGGAGAGATGATTTAGCGGTAGGGAAAATCCCATAAGAAAAAGAGAGACACACATACATGGAGAGGGGGAGAGGGAGTGGTCCAGCAAAGGAAATGAAAGAGGAGACAAAAGAAGCAGAATGATGGTAAATAAACACACACACACACACACACACACACACACACACACACACACACACACACACACACATTTAGACCTACCTCTCTAATCATTTTCTTTTGCTACCAGTTACATATCACATCTCTCAATGTCATATACCTATCTTTTTTATTTTTTTAATATACCCATCTTATTTACTATATATCTGTCTATATAGCTATCAGCAGCCAGTCTGTCTGTCTCTCTTTCTGTCTGCCTATCTATCTATCCATCCGTCTGTCTATCTTTCTATCTATCTATCTATCTACCTATCACCTTCAACCCCTCTATCGATTAGTTCATACCTCTATCACCTACTATTCAAAATATGTGTGTATGAATGTATCTTTCTATCCATTGATCTATCAATAATCTATATCTAGGTCACAAAACAGAAAGGTGAGCATGATGCATCAGAAAGAGGGATGCAGATAGATGCATGGATCCAGGAAGGGACACTCATAGTTGAACTCAGGTTGACTCATTCAGAGACACAGATGAATGACCCAAGTAGGGGGGTGAGAGGGGTGTGGCATGGTGGGCAGAGGGTGGGAGCATCTGAGACACCCTGCCTGGACTGCCTCAACATTCCCCCTCCACAGATCCAGAGCAATGAGGAAGGCATGCAGCTGGTGACTGAAATGGGCAAGACCTTCCGAGATGTCCATCTCTGTTGGCTGGGACCTGTCATCCCTGTGCTGAGGCTTGTTGATCCTGCATTTGTTGCGCCCCTGCTCCATGCCCCAGGTATCCCCCTTCCAGGATCCCAACACTTGACCTCTCCTCTGTCTCTTGTTCATGCCCTTCCTATCCCTGGATTGACTAGGCTGAGCAACAGATGGGGCTGTTCCTGACAGTGGCCATGGATCTGCAGCTAACCTGCTGAGTGAACTTGGATAAGGTCCCGAGTCTCCCTTGTGGCTGAGATCTGCTTGAATTGTGAGAGAGGGAAGTTCAGCCCAGTGTGATCTAAGCCAGGAAAGAGAATGTATTGGCTTGGGATGTACTCAGTGGTGGAACACTTGTCTACCATGAACAAAGCCACATGCATGTGGAGGATAGTAGGCAATCTGAGCTGCTATCCTTGGGACCTCTACATACCTTTATAGACAGCTCTCTCATTCACCTGGAGCTCTCCCATTAAGTTAGATTGCCTGAGCAGTAAGCCCTAGAAATCCTCCTGTCTCTAAAAATTATTTATTTTTAAGTAATTTATTTATTTTGAGGCACTGTATAGCCTTAGCTGGTCTGAATTCACTTTGTAGACCAGGATGGCCTTGAACTCACAGAGATTTACCTGCTTCTGTCTCCTGAGTGCTGATATTAAAGGTGTGCGTGACCATGGCAGGCCTTTATTTTTTTATTTTATTGTGTGAGTGTTTGCCTGCATGGATGTGTGTGTACCACATGTATGCGGTGCCTCAGGGGCCATAAGAGGGTGTCAGATCCCTTGGACGTAGAGTCAGGTGATCGTGAGCTGCCATGTGGGTGTTGAGAACTAAATCCAAGTCTTCTGCAAGAGCAGCCAGTGCTCACAACCACTGAGTCATCTCTCCAGCCCCGGGGATTGAATCTTTAAATTGTGCTTTATTTAGAAAGTTTGTGATCTGAGAAGACAGTGAGTCCACAGCCTTAAAAATGACTGCATCTCCTCTGCATGCAGCAAAAGCAGCCAGACCTTCCAGAGTTCAGTCCCACCCTCTGAGATCCAGGGCTACTTTCATTGTTATTGTCTGTGTTTCTCCCTTATTATCAATTCTCTGTGCTCCTGGGTTCACACATTCCTGAAGACACTGAGTTTGATGAGGCTCTGTGGCGTGTGTCTCACATTCTTCTTGGTATTCTCCATAATCACCTCAGAGCTGCAAACTATTAGCAATGTGTTTGTCTTGCACTATTTACAATGTGTACGTGCAGATTCCCTTCACAATATGGAGTGCAAATGGTTCTGTATTATACAGAACAACATAGTGCTTTTTTTTACTTCCCTTGTGTCCCCAATGACATTCAACAGCATTCTTCCAAGATGGGTACTTCCTAGGTGAACAGTTGAGGTTGGGGGAGGCATGTAACATTGCGTGAACTCCTCACCACCTCCCACGTTCAATGAGTCTTGGCTGCCCCAGCCACCTTCGATAGAAGGGACCCCAAGCTGGAGATGATTTGGGACAGTGGTGGTATGCAGAGTACTGCAGGGACTGTCCACTAGAGTCCAGATGGGTCAGCTCTGTCTGCTTGGCTCTGGGGCTGCTTGATGGCTGGAGAGGGCAGAGGCAACTCTTCCCAGTGGGCACATGGCTCCGAGAATAGAGTTGCCCTGAACTCTGAACAGTTAATACTTAGTGTGGCATAGAGGAGAGAACTGGAGGGATCTGGGACCTATCCAGGTCACATTTGGGACTCGAAAGGGACCACATTTCAGTGCCAATCTGGGATTATCTGAAGGGCACAGTTAGGCGATGCCAGACTGTTACACACCCATGTTGTGTCACGTCAGGGAATGTCATGTGTGTTGTGTTTATGGCAGGTCATGATAACATGTGCCCCTGTCATATATACCAGGATGTGTTGGGACGTGTCAGAGAGCTGCAATTGACAGTGTGTCCTAGGTCTTTGCAGAGGCCTGTAGAGTGCTGTGCTGCTCAGATGTGGAAGACCCAGTGGACCATGCAGCAGCCATGTGAAGGCATGCTGGGGCATGTTTGTTCCCTGCCAGCTGGGCTTTGCTCTCTGCCGCTGCAGACTGGTCTGGCCTTGTCTCACCTCCTTCCTCTTCCCTGCTGTCTTTGTCCTGGTTCCTTTCCTACCTCCCTGTCTTTGGAGGGGAAATGGGCAGCCCTGGGGCTGGGAGTCCCCACCCCTCCCAAAGTCCACCTTTCACCCTTTCCATGGCCCCTGATTGTCCTCTTTCACGGCAGCTTTGGTGGCCCCCAAGGACATGACTTTCTTAGGCTTCCTGAAGCCCTGGCTGGGTGAGTACGCCAAGGTGAGGGTCGGGGGATACCTTGGGGGTCAGAGGAAGGTGCCACCTTTGCTCACTGCCGTGGCTTCCCTCCCAGGGGATGGGATCTTCCTGAGTTCTGGTGACAAGTGGAGCCGCCATCGCCGTCTGCTGACACCCGCCTTCCACTTTGACATCCTGAAGCCCTATGTGAAGATTTTTAACAAGAGTGTGAACATCATGCACGTGAGTTCCTCAAACTCAGGGTCCCATGTAGATACTTGCAGAACAGGGAGTGTTCTGATCATGTGTTTCTGCTGCGTGGTCTTGGGGACATCAGTTTTCCTCACCAAGCCTCAGTTTCTCCATCTTTAAAAATAAGAGTAACAATCTGTACTGAAAAGGTGATCAGGATGACAGACACCATGGGGTCGTGCTCTTAGCACATAGATGAGGATCCTAGCAGACCAGTATCTACTCTCCTTCACAGAGGCCCTGGAGAGTTAATCTGGTTAACGTTGACTATGGATGTAGCTCTCTCTGTGTAGGACACTAGTTTAGACTGCTAGACTGCATTGTCCCTAAGCTGTCCATGGTGATGCACTCCTTAATCCCAGCCCAGGGAGACTGAGGAAGAAAGATTGTGAATTATAGGCCAGTCCAAGCTACATTAACAACAAGACCTTGTCTCAAAAAGTAAGGTCCTACCGGGTGGTGGTGGCACACGCCTCTAATCCCAGCACTAGGCAGGCAGAAGCAGGTAGATCTCTGTGAGTTCCAGGCCAGCCTGGTCTACAAAGTGAGTTCCAGGAAAGGTGCAAAGCTACACAGAGAAACCCTGTCTCGAAAAACCAAACCAAACCAAAACAAAACAAAACAAAAAAACCAAAAACAGAAACAAAACAAACAAACAAACAAACAAAAAACTAAGGTCCTTCTGGGAGAAGTTGGTTGGGTAGTGGGGTGATTATGGTCAAAACTCACTTAAAAATGAAACTAAAAGTATTGGGTAGAGCTGAGTACATTCTGGGTTTTCAAGCATGGAAAATACTGGTTCCAAAAGGGAAAAAGCAGAAACTTTACATGAGCTCTTTGCAAAGGCAGAGAATGGAGGACTTAAAGAAACTGGGGCCGTTCTATAGCCAACTACAATTATGTTAGTGAGGCTGATAACCACAGCTAACACTTACTAGCACCTTCTGGATATAAAACATTATGCCAGTTCTACCATTTATGTTGAGTGATGTAATTTCCATATTGCTATGAGGCAGAGGTAAGTATGACTGTTATATTATGGATGATGAAACCAAAGGTCAGAGAGGTCAGTATTCTCCAGGTTTACAAAAAATAAGAGGGCATGAATGGTAGAGCAAGCACTGGAGTGTATTTTACTGGGTAATCCAACCTGTCAGCCTAATTGTGGCTGAAGGCTTGACAAACAGGACCTAGGAGAAGGCAGCAAGCGGACCGGGCACACGGAAGGTAGCGTTGGACTAGGGTGACCTAAGGGCTTCATCTGTGGCAGTGCCATCTTCTGCTCCCGCCAGAGTCAGCTTTTCTGTGAGGTCAGGTGCCTAGTCTAGAGTTTAGGGCTGGGAAGGGGCTCAAGGATCAAAGGCTTGGCCCCATGTCTGTCCCTTTCTCTGGTCAGGACAAGTGGAAGCGCCTATCCTTGGAGGGCAGTGCACGTCTGGAAATGTTTGAGAACATCAGCCTCATGACCTTGGACAGTCTGCAGAAATGCCTCTTTGGCTTTGACAGCAACTGTCAAGAGTGAGTCCCTGTCCCAGCCTTGGAACATGGGCCTTGTACCAAGGAAGTAGGTTGGGGATGGAGGACTGCCTCCCGGGAGTAGAGGAGACTCTGCAGGAGTTCGGTCAAAAGTGGCAGTGAAGGGCAGGGAAGGAGGAGAAGGAGTGGCCCTTCCAAGGAGGCAGAATACTTTGCATAAAGGCAAGGAGCTGTCGACAGGCGGCAGGTGAAAGAGGAGGAATCCAGAAGGAGGATTCTTCGACAGGACACTGAAGGGCATGTTACCGTTTTGTGGTAAAATATCTCCAATGAAACAAGCTAAGAGGGAAATACAGTTTATCCCCTGGTTTCCTTCCGTCAAGGTGGGGAATGACAGGTTCCCACCATGATGGCGCAGAAGTGCAGTGAGACCCTGTCTGTGTCGGCGAGCTTCTTCCTCCTTCCCTTCCCATCCATGGACGCCACCCAGTGGGAAGAAGCAGTCCACATTCAGCGCAAGTTTTACATGCTCATTTAATTCAATCTGGAGACAAAACACCATCTCTGACACACACAGAAATATCATTATTAATCTTTGGTGCAATATAGATTCTCAGAGTTAACCATTACAGAGCATTAGACAGCCCACACATCTTTTCTTCTTCTCTTCTATCCCCTCTCCTTTTTCTTGACCTCATCTCAGTCTGTAGTTAGTCTGGGCTGGAACTCACTATGCAGATGAAATTGGACTTGAGCTTCTGATCCTCCTGCATCCACCTCCTGTGTGTTGGGATCATAGCCAGGAGCCAGCACGTCCAGCTGGTGGCCAGATCTTAAAGATGTTGCCTAGCCAGAAGGGTGTGAACTCCATCCTGAGTTTCCCAGGTCATAAGAGAAGGTTCTGTACAGTGGGGAGTCCTAGTCACAGTGAGCTTAGGCAACCTAATCAATAGAGGAGCTTCATAGAGATATTCATAGAGATACAGGGTGCAAGGAACCAGGAGAGGAGGGTCTGAGCCTGGGCAGAGTCACAAGAAGCCAAAGGAGAAGAGCAGGAGCAGATGCTGGGTGAACTAGAGGAAGAAATGATGTCCACTTATGCCCTGGATTCCTGGGTCAGGAACTACTTGTAGAGAGCAGGAAACAGAATTTGTGCTTTGTGGATGCCCTTTTCAGGATGGACCCTGGTCCTTGGACTCTCTGGCTGGAGGTTCTCTGGGGTTTTGTGTGTGCTAAGTTGCTTCCTCTCTCTGGCCTGACCTGCAGGTCTCCCAGTGAATACATTGCTGCCATCTTGGAGCTCAGCGCCCTGGTAGTAAAAAGGTCCCAGAATCTCCTCATGTTTGTGGACTTCTTTTACTACCTCACTGCTGATGGGCGGCGCTTCCGCAAAGCCTGTGATCTGGTGCACAACTTCACAGATGCTGTCATCAGGGAGAGACGCCGCACCCTCAGTAGCCAGGGTGTTGATGAATTTGTGAAGGCCAAGGCTAAGTCCAAGACTTTGGATTTCATCGATGTGCTCTTGATGGCCAAGGTGGGTTTATGTGAGATCTGGGTTACAGGAATGTCAATGTTCAGTATATAGATTATATATATATATAGATTGAAGAGGCTGGACTTGACCAGGAGGGTACTGGAGAGTTACAAATGGTGCTTCTGAGAACTTGGCACAGGACAGAGATACATGTTAGCGGGTACTCTTTTGAAGGCTGCATTAAAAGACTAAACAGTGGGCAGGACACCAAGGAAGAAATGGAGGCAGGCTCTGGAGAGGACAGAGGAGGTGTCTTGTGTACACTGTGGGTATCAGGACCTGTCTCATACCACCTCAGACATGGAATGAGTTGAGGGTCCTGTTTTGTCTTCAGGATGAACACGGAAAGGAGCTGTCAGATGAGGACATCCGGGCAGAGGCTGACACCTTCATGTTTGGAGGTGAGGGTCCCTGTGTGAGACTCCAGAGGTAGAGGTCTATCAATCCCATGTAGGTATTGTGGGGAACCTAGAATCCTTCCGTTCTTTCCATCTATCCATCCCTTCCCCATCCTCTGGGGACCTCACTCTCTGGGTACTTTACTCCATTGTGCTGAAACAGTCCAGAGACCCAAGCTTGCCTTTCTGTCTGTCCCTCAGGCCATGACACCACAGCCAGTGCACTCTCCTGGATCCTGTACAACCTGGCGAGACACCTGGAATACCAGGAGCGCTGCCGGCAGGAGGTACGGGAGCTGCTGAAGGACCGAGAGCCTGAGGAGATTGAATGGTGAGCTCAGGTCCATGTGGTCTCTGTTGCTGTTATGCTGCTGGTAGTCATGCAAGGTGCTGCTTCTGAGATTTTGATATAGGGTCTGTCTATGCATCCAAGACTGACTTACAGTATCCTAACACCTTGTATTTAGGGATTACATTCTCAGTTTGAACTTGTCTTCATTTAGTTAATTGCATCACACACAGCGTGGAAGGGTTCATTTTCAAACCAAATTTGTTTTTCTTGAGTCCCTTCCTCTTGTCTCGTGAATTTCCTTTGCCTGTTATACCATTCTTCTATTTGTAGTTCATGGACACCTCTTTTTCAATCCTTGAGAAATCCCATGCTGTATCTTGGTCTGCTTTTCAGTACATTTTGTTCATTGAAAATACTAAGAAAAAAAAAAAGGATTTGCTATATTCTTTTTTTTTCTTAAGATTTATTTATTATTATGTACATAGTGTTCTGCCTGCATGCAAGACAGAAGAGGGCACCAGATCCCATTATAGATGGTTGTGAGTTACCATGTGGTTGCTAGGAATTGAACTCAGGACCTCTGGAAGAGCAACCAGTGCTCTTAACCTCTGAGCCATCTCTCCAGCCCGATTTTTCTATATTCTTACCATAAAGAAATGACAAATCTTTGGGACAATGGACTTGCTCATTAACTTACAGTTTTAGTATTCCTGATGCATTGAGAGACTCTACCCTGTATTTGGAGGGGCCAATTCTTGTTTTGTTTTATTTTTAGATAGGATTACACTGTGTAACCCTGGCTGGCCTGGAACTCACTGTGTGGATCAGGCTGGTCTCAAACTCACAGAGATTTGCCTGCCTCTTGTCTCCCAAGAGACAAGAGGGTTTAAAAGGTGTGTGCCATCATGATGGGCAAGCATTTGATTGGTTGGTTGGTTGATTGAGACTGCTGTTTGTTGAGGTAAGAGCCCCCAGCTTACCCTGTAGCTGAGGCTGACTTTGACCTCTGGTCCTCCCGCCTCCTCTTCTCCAGTCCTGGGATCCTTTGCCTGGCTGCACTGAATTCTTTTAGTTTGCTGATTGCTAGTTTTCTTAACCGGTAGGTCTTCCTCCAAACCACCTACCCACTTCCCAGCAGCGTGTGGACTGTCTTCTTGTGCCTGCCTCAGCTCTGTAGTCCACAGGTTTCCTTAGTAACCTTCGTTTTTAAAAACTTACTACAGTTTGCTTTTTGGTTTTTGGTTTTCGAGACAGGGTTTCTCTGTGTAGTTTTGGTGCCTGTCCTGGAACTCACTCTGTAGACCAGGCTGGCCTCAAACTCACAGAGATCCGCCTGGCTCTGCCTCCTGAGTGCTGGGATTAAAGCTGTGCGTCACCATCGCCTGGCAAAAGCTTACTACAGTTTTATAATAGGTTTCAGTGACTGGTAGGTTGGTTCTATCTTTTATTTTTAAATTGACTTGTTTCTGCATGAACTTTAGCTCTTCTAACTGGAATAAAGTTGTTGAGTGAGGATGTAGTTAGTGGTGGACACTTGCCTATCATGCAAGGCTCTGTGAAATCTAGTCCTCAGAAAGAATTTTCGGGTTCTCAAATACAGGTTCTCATTCTCTCCTCTCTCTCTCTCTCTCTCTCTCTCTCTCTCTCTCTCTCTCTCTCTCTCTCTCTCCTCATGCTCATGCAAGCAACTCTAACTTTATCAGGTCACAAACAGAAAAGATGTCGAAGGAGAAGGGAGATTGTTAGGAGGTCAAAGGGCATTCAGCAAGGGAGGGAGGGGGACGAGAGAGTACTGGAGGGTGAGTATGATCGATATACATTACATACTTGTCTGAAAATATAAAAATGTATTTTAAGAAGACAAAAAATTAAAATTAAAAGACAAAAAAAGAAGACTAAAGATTTATTGGATAGTACTGAAAATTAATCCAGAAAGGACTATCTGGGTGGCGGTGATGGCATATGACTTTAATCCCACCATTTGGGAGGCAAAGGCAGGCGGATCTCTGAGTTCAAGGCTAGTCTGGTCTATAGAGCATATTCCAAGACAGTTAGGGCTACACCTAGAAACCCTGTCTCGAAAAACTAAGAGAGAGAGAGAGAGAGAGAGAGAGAGAGGGAGAGAGGGAGGGAGGAACTGACACCTGTATAGTGACGGGCCATTTCTCCTATCAGCACTCTCCTAGAATTATTCAGTTAAATAACCTTATAGACCTTTAAGGATCTTTATTTCTGCTTCTGTTATTTCATTATATAATTTCTTTCTGATGCAAGGTCTCCTGTAGCTCAGATTGTCCATTTATTTATTCCTGATCTTCCACCCTCCATTTTCTTGAGTATCACACCCAGGTCATGGTATAAAAATTTTAAAGCTTTTGCATTGCAAATTTATTAAACAGTTTAAGGATCGATTTGGAAGGGTGTACCTTAATTAGAAATATTTCAGGGTTTTTTTTTTCCTGGTGTTTTATGATGGGAGGGGGCACTAGTCTTTGATCCAGAGCTGTAGATCAAAGATCTTAGTTGACCCCTGTGACCTCAAAACTTAGGAAGTGGAATGGGAGGCATCAGGAGTTCAAGGTTGTCTTAGTAGCTAGAGGCAAACAAAGGGACCGGCAAACTTCTTTGCTTCATCTGGAATACAGTTTGTAACAGAGCTAAGGTTGAGAGGGAAGTGGTTAGAATCCAACCGCATGCCAGTGAGGCTGAGCAGGGCTGTTTTCGCTCCTGGATAATTGTGTGGTGGTTCCCTAGGGATGACCTGGCTCAGCTGCCCTTCCTGACCATGTGCATCAAGGAGAGTCTGCGGCTTCATCCTCCGGCCCCAGACCTTCTTCGCCGCTGCACCCAGGACATTGTGCTACCGGATGGCAGGGTCATCCCCAAAGGTGCCTCAGAGTCATGGGTGAGGGGAGGTGCAGAGGGGAGGCCCCTGAGTATGGTGGTGGTCCCCAGGGGCAGCTCAGATATGATACTGACTGGATGTTCGTGCCCAACAGGGAGCATCTGTATCATCAGCGTCTTTGGTATTCATCACAATCCTTCAGTCTGGTCAGACCCTGAGGTGGGGGCTCCTCCTGGCATTTCTGGTTCCTGGGGAGGGGTTCGGCCTTAACTTGGAAACAAGAAGCTGCTCTCCATGTTTGCCTTTTCTGGGGCTGGCTGGTTGTGTTCAGAGACACAACCTAGAAGCCTAATTTTAATTTTGTCTTTCCCCCAGGTCTACGACCCCTTCCGCTTTGACCCAGAAAACCCTCAGAAGAGGTCACCTCTGGCTTTTATTCCCTTCTCAGCGGGGCCAAGGTGAGGCCCGAGAGTTTATGGTAATGGGCTGTCAGTGGGAATAGGGGAGTAGGGATGGTTGGGTTCTTTCCAACCTTGGCTCGGGGTATGTGCAAAAGTCTGCAGAGTTGGAAGGTGAGGGGCTGACTAATTGCGGCGGGGACCGGGTCAGATTATGTCCCTACGGTGCCTGGCTGGGTTCCATCTCCTGACCCCGCCCTCCCACAGGAACTGCATAGGACAGACTTTCGCCATGAGCGAGATGAAGGTGGCGCTGGCGCTCACCCTGCTGCGCTTCCGCATCCTGCCGGACCACAAGGAACCGCGGCGGAAGCCGGAGGTGATCCTGCGCGCAGAGGGCGGGCTGTGGCTGCGGATGGAGCCGCTGAGCACGGGTGCACAGTGACCCCCCAACATCTGGCCTGGGACCACCCCCACCCACACGCCTACCGAACGAACTCTGTGGATCCCAGAATAAGCCGAGCCCCACTGTTCGCCAGCAGGGGGCGCAGGAGGCCAACAGAACCAGCTGTGATCTGGGCGGGATGAGGCGGGGCTGCTGTTTTTGAGCCAAAGAACCTTACTGTTTGCTAATTAGCCATGAAAGGCTTCCAGGCTGATGACAATTCTTTTCCTGCTCAAGCTTGGACTTCATCCTGTAAGAGCTTCTGAGCTTTCTGAGGGAGAGTAAGGGAGGGAGCAGAGTTTCGGGCCCGCTTGAGACTCCTAGGCATTGAAGCAAAGCCTTAATCACATTGTTTCCATTTTCTTCTACTTCATCCTGCTCCTCGTCTGTTTCATCATATTTGAAGGGATCCTCCAGTTTTTGTCTTCTTAGTGACACACTTACAGGAGTGGGCTGCTACACTACACCTAGAGGGGTATTTATAAAGTTTGAGAAAAAGGATTTTTCAGGAAAGGGAAATCCTGGCGCCCTTGAGAAGCATGTTAAATGGCATTCAAGGCTTGTGATGCCTAAGATCACTAAGGCAGCTTAAAATATATGAAATCACTCTTCTGGATCCTTCGCTTTACCTTTGTCCTGGGCGGTGTTCATTGAGAATCCCACTGACTTTACAAGAATCTTATAAGTTTCCTTTCTCATAGCACTTTCGGGCTTTGATTGCTCTTCCCCTCATCATGAGTCCATTAAAACTGTCAGCTGGGCATGGGGATGTGTACCTGAAATCCCAGTACTTAGGAGCGGGAGACAGAGGATCATGAGTTGGAGAGTATCTTGGAATACATAGAAAGTTTGAGACCAGCCTGGGCGACATAATAAATTTTTGTCTCCAAAATAAAAATTAAACCCATTAAAATTTTGAGCTTCACATTTTCCTGACTTGAGAAATAGATTCAGGGGTTTGCAGCTCAGCAGGAGGCAGGTGAGAGGAGACCAGGCTGGGGCCAGTGAGGCCAGGAGCCTCATGTGGGATCTGGATCCAGCACAGGTATAGGGGAGCGTGCAATGACTGGACCAGGACCAAGCCCTGAAAGAGTGCAGACAGGCTGCTGGATTGCTGGTCCAGAAGGTTGTTGCACATTCAGATGGCAGTCAACCTGACCATTCCTGGCCTCATGCTGGCCTCTGCAAGGACAACCTGCCCATCAGCTCCGTCACTCCCAACCAGGCAGACAGGGAGTGCCTCACCACTTGCTGCCTGCTGGCCTCAGTGCCTGACCCTCAGGTCTCCATCCTCAACCTGTGAAGCAAGGCTAGCAGGCCTATTACTCCCCAAGGTAATTCCAGACAGAATACTCAGCATTGTGAGACTTACATGGACACCTCATCCTCTCTGAGTTCCTTACCACACAACTTGGTGCTGGTAAGAGGCAGGGTGCAAGGTGGGGTACGGGGAAAGGGAGGGCTGTGCATCGGCTCCGACTGCTGTGATGGCAAGTTAGACCGAGGGCTGTCCAGCAGTAGTACTGAGACACATGGCAGCACCGTGACATCCAACCAGACAGCCTTCCAGTCTAGATCCTGTTCTACCTCTACCTTGGCTGTGCCGAGGATCCTACCAACCTAGATGGCAATGTCATCAAATATGTCCTCAACGTTGTACCCAACCTACCCAATGTTTTGGAGCACAGTGGCAAGTTTACTTGCATCAGATTTGCTGGGGTCAGAACCTTTCCCTGTTCTTCCTGGAGCCCCATCGACCTCACTGATGAAGTGGCTCTATGAAGTGTGGTGTCTTGATGTCTGTCAGGTACCAGCTGCTCAGTGACTGTCACTGTCGCCTATCTGGCACAAAAGATGAACCTGTCTCTCTTGATAGCAAGAGGAAAAAGTCCAACATCGCATCCACCTTCAGCTTCATGGGGCAGCTGCTGGACTTTGAGCAGACACTGAAACTCAGCAGCCATGCCACAGCCAAGCACCCAGTGAACAGCTCTACTTCTCCACACGCACCAGCCACAACCTGTTTCTGATCAACACCTTTGAGTTCACATGAAGCCTGATGTACCAATGGGTTCAGCACCAGGGACTCTGAGGCCTCCCTCCACAGGGTGTGTGTGGAGGCATGGGGGTGGTCCCTAGCCTGCTGCCTGCCCCCAAGAACCCACAGATGTCACCTGTGTCCAGAGAACCAGGCTAAGCATTGTGGCAGGTCTGGGAGTGGCTTTGGATACATGTGCAAATACGTGGGAATGAGCACTGGCCTCAGCTGTCAGACACGTGGCTTATGGGCCAGAGAGGCTTGTCTCTGTCCCAGGACATCCCACCCTGCTGATGGCCTGGCCAGTCTGGCTATTTTAAAAGATGTATGTATAGACCTGAGTTTACTTCTTACTTTTGGCAGGTGAATATAAGCTCTCTGAAGCACTGAGAGTGTTCAAGCTCTTCCTGATTTTTCTTATTTAACAAAAAATTATTTTTAGGGTTACATGCAACAGTGGATTGCATACGCCACTATTTCCCCCCTTTCTTAACCTAAGAGGTGGCGAGGGAGGTTCCTAGTTTCATTTCTTCTTATTTCAAAAATCAGCCATGGGTATGTTTTCTTCTTTTTAATGGGGAAAAAATACGCTGCTGACCAAATGTATTTTGAACACTTCTCAGTTTCCCAGTGAGCCATTCTTCAAGGGTGATGTTTCTGCTCTTCCGGCTTCAGGATGCCTGGTCACACTGTCTCCTACATGTGGCCCAACCCAGCTCAGTGCCACATTTGCAAGTTGGGCTTGGTGGGCACTGGTGGTGTTTGCATTGTCTGCTCACCTGTTATCCCCTGAGAGTCAGCACACCTCTCTGAGTCCTGCTAGGGGTGGTGGTGCAGGAGACTGTCAAGCAGTAGCATTAGCCATCTGAGATCAGTCCCTAGGAGGGTTGGGCCTTGGGCCCTTTTATAAATTTGCCCAGCCCTTCTGTCATCATTTCTGTCTGTAACTGGGAGGGGAGGCCCCACAGTGCCTGAGTGAAGCTTATAGCACGAATCTTAAATGGTCTTATTAATAAAAACAAACCTGGAGCCAGGTATTGGGTTAAAGCTGGCAGATCAGAGAAGCAGAACTAGTCACAGCCACCTCACCTCGCCAATTCCTCAGCTGATCTTGTTTCCTCAGACTGGAAGCCTCTGTGTCCTCATATCCGAATTGATCTCAGCTGAACTGCTTCTTGAAAGCCTAAAAGCTTAACCAGCTCTAGTTCCTGGTCCTCACACCTTAAATACCTTTCTGCTTTCTGCCATCACTTCCTGGGATTAGAGGCGGGAGTCACCACGCCTGGTTCTTTCCAGTGTGGCCTTGAACTCACAGAGATCTGGATGGATCTCTGCCTCCAGAAGTCTAGGATTAAAGGCGTGTGTGCCACCATTTTCTAGCCTCTGTATCTAGTGGCTGTTCTGTTCTCTGACCCCAGATAAGTTTATTAGGGTGCACAATATTTTGGGGAACATAATATCACCACAGAATCTTGTGTGGTGGGGTACAGCTTTGCATTCCCAACACTTTCCCTCACCCTCACTGGCTTTGGTTTAGGTGCTACTCCTGCCCCCTTGTCCTGATTTACACACACCCTGGTCTATGCTGCCCACGCCTTTTATCTGCAGGCCACTGACACTCCTTGCACCCCAGGGCTGTGGCAGGTGGGGCAAGGAGAGGCCAGTGGAGGGAGTGTGAGATCTTGCCTGTCACTCTAGCACCCAGAGCACAAAGCCTGGGGTTCCATAATGCTCCTCCATTTTATTCCTTCTCCGGTCTCAGTTCTCACCAGGCACCACCAGGCCTGGGATGGGAAAGGGGATGCTTGGGTCCCTAATGGAGCTGTCATTGGCAGTGGGCAGTGAAAGAGGCCATGGAAATTGTGTTCTGGTAGAAGCTCCACCAGACACCCTGACACCCATATACCCAAAGAGTTTGGGATGCTCAGATGGAAGCTCCACCTCAACTCCCCTCCCTCATCTTTCTCTCCCCAAACCCTGCCCTGTCTCAAGCCCTCCAAACACAGCTCCTCCCCCAGAGATGCTCAAGACCACTCCCACAGGGTATTTAAACTGCACCCCAGAAAACAGACAAGTGGTTTTTCAGTCTCTTTCCCCCGCCTTCTCTCTGGGGGCTGGAAAATCACCCTGGACCGTTTTACCCATTAAACTGGGGCTTTTTCTTAATTCGGTTTGATTTGGTCTGATTTGGATTGCTGCACTGGCGGAGAGGCCTATTAGAGTGCAGAAACTTTTCAAATTGTGCTCACATCTTACCTCACAGGGATGGTTTGGTGTCTAGGGATTCTTTAGAATAGCAGAATAAAACCTTGGTATAGTTGAGACAAAAGCAAAACAAACAAACAAACAAACAAACAAACAAACGAAAACCCCAACCAAACAAACAAAAAACCATGCTGTACATTCTCTCTCTTTCTCTCTCTCATTAAAAACAAACAAACAAACAAAAAACCGGAAAGACATACTGAGTATAAATAAGTGTACACCAGAGTGTATGCCAGTTTTGCCTTATTATTTTATGAAGGAAAATTGGCAATTCTATACACACACACACACACACACACACACACACACACACACACACACACACACACACGTAGGCATCTGGAGCCAGCAATAGGAATTTGTTTATATTGTAAATAAACATTATTATTGTTTAAAAAAGAAATGGATTCAGAGGAAGAGTGTAATCCACATTTTAAAAAGATTTGCTTATGGCCGGGAAGTGATGGTGCACGCCTTTAATCCTAGCACTCGGGAGGCAGAGGCAGGCAGATCTCTGTGAGTTTGAGGTCAGCCTGGTCTACAGAGTGAGTTCCAGGAAAGGCTCCAAAGCTACACAGACACAGACACACACACACACACACACACACACACACACACACACACACACAGATTTGCCTGTTTGGTGCCTATGTGTGTATGTGTCTAGAAGTCAGAGGACAACTTGAAGGACCTCTGTGGGTTCCTGGAATTGAACTCAGGTCATCAGGCTTTGCAGCAGGTGCTTTTACTTGCTGAGACATCTCTCCAACCCCTCATGCTCAACTATCTCTAGATTTTTGTTCTCATTTATAGTGCCTTTGTAATTTTGTTTCTTGAAGTTGGAATGCAGGACCTTGCAGAGTCTAGTCAGTGCTTCTCCACTGAGCTAGTCCCTCGGGTGACTCTAATTCTTACTGTCTTTTCATGTCTTTATTCACTGAAAGATTGGAAAATCATTCAGGTTTCGTGGTGGCTGTAAAACAGCTAGAATTTAGCACAAATGACTTAGCTCATTGTAGTGGTATTTGCTCCATCCATGATCTTGGGCTATACGGCCCAAAGGGAGCGGTGCTTCTTGCCATTGTACCTGACATCTTAAAAGGAAAGGGAGGCCGGGCGGCGGTGGTGGTGCACGCCTTTAATCCCAGCACTCGGGAGGCAGAGCCAGGCGGATCTCTGTGAGTTCGAGGCCAGCCTGGTCTACAAAGCGAGTTCCAGGAAAGGCGCAAAACTACACAGAGAAACCCTGTCTCAAAAAACCAAAAAAAAAAAAAAAAAAAAAAAAAAAAAAAAAAAAAAAAAAAGGAAAGGGAGAAGGGTCATGAGGTCCCTGCTCCCTGCTTCGTGTTTCCTGGTGTGATCAACCTGTCAAGTGGATTTGCTCCTGGTCAGATCAGAGGACGACTTCAGCTGTCTAATCGGTTCTGTATTCATGAGTGTATTTCCTCAATTTATATCCTAATAAACTCCCTAATACTCCTTAAGCAGACTCCCATGGATTTCTCGCATTATCTAGTGCCCAACCACGCCCACGTCTGAGACCCATGTGTATTTACTGGGGCTACTCACGTGACCAAATCCTACCGCCCACAGGTGGCTGCTGGCGAGTTTCTCTGCACTGCAGAGCCCACACACAGCCCAAACCCCGCAGGAGCTGCCTGACCCCTGCTCAGGTGACTGCCGGCATGCAGCGGCCGTGTGGGGAGCCTGTAGCCCAGGCGGGTCACGCAACCGCGGTTCCTGTAACCACTGCCAGAAGCATTGCGCATTCAGTGGCGGATCGAGCACCTTGTCAGACAGAAAGGTGCCTGCGCTAGGCGCCTTTCTAGTTCTGTGCTCGTAGCGGCTGGGTCGGGTCCCAGCCCCCAGGAGATGGCCAGCAGACTGTTCCTTTACTTTTAAAACTGTTTGGTATAGCTGCTGCAAATTCCATCTTTTGAAACTCCTGCTGCCGCTCCGCCATCGCCATTCCGTGCACAGCCGCTGCCACTGTTGGGTGTATTACCTCATTTGTTGTGATCCCGACAGCTCTGCCCAGGACTCATGGGCAGGGGGTTGCCTGGCTTAGTGTTTGATTCCCAGGAGCCGGTTCAGGGAGCTGAGTCAGCTCGCACCAGACCTGTTTTGGCACTACACCTGCGACAGCTACTGGCAAAACATTGATACTTCATCCAAAAATCATCCAACGAACCAGCCATTTGCTCAACCCGGTCAATTACATCTGGAACAGCTGAACACTTAGGACAATCTCTTGAGGATCTTACTTGAGGTAAATTACTTGATAACTTTACCCCTTAAACTGATATAAATAAATTAATAAATAAATACATAAAAAATTTTGTTTACAAATTTCAAGTCTCTCTCACACAATGGCTGATAATACAATCTTTCAGGAATTTAAAAACTTCTTTGTTTATAATATGGAAGAAATTTTACAAGACATATATGACCTTCCTGGGACATATACAATTGTTGCCATAATTGTGACTAGCATAGTAATTCATATTGTATCATTCTCATATCACAAGAGCTGCCTGGTGTGGGACAGAAGAAAGCCAGTAATCTAGGGACCACTGTTGTCAAGATCCTATTTCTCTCCATGCTTATTCTTGATTTCTCAGAATCCTTTCTCACATGTCATGTCATCTTAAGATTCAAACTTTCCATTTTGATATTAATAATGGTCAAGTTTTCAGCAGTGAAAAAGAAATCTTTCCAATAACAATCTCTGAAGTCTCCAGAAGGAAGATGGAGCCCCACAACAATGACTCTACCCAATGCATAATGATGCCATTGAACCAAGAAACACTACTCAATGATCAACTTTGGACTGCAAACTCTTCAGGACAGTTCCAAGATGAGATGGTCCATCACATTACATTTCTAGCCAGAACCTCAGATAACCTTACCCATTACTCTGAGACTGGCTACAAACATTGTAACTAGCCCTATTGAGACTTAACCATTTGGCTTTCTTACAGATCCCACAGAGATACCATCGCCCCCTAAACAGCAGGAAACAATTTTAAGAAAACGATGCCCCCTCTCCCAAAAGTTTTCATTTTCTCAGGGTTATGGATAAGTTGTTATAGTGTGTGTGGGGAGGGAGGACAATAAAACTTAGACTCAGGATTCTTTTTTGGAAAAGAAGAAAGGAGAATGGATAGGTATAGTATATTAAGGTAGATGATTGTATCTACTAGTAAACTAATTTAGCAAACTATCAGCCTTAGATAATTTGCACTGATATGGATTCTTGTTTATTGATACAAATGTAAACTATTTTTCTACCCCTATTAAGATAATTTGTATATTGATACAAATTCAAAACAATAATTGTCATATTGCACACATGTTCATATATTTCATATATTGATATAAATGTAAAATTATATTTGTCATACTGTATGTATGTCTTACCTCTGTTTAGGATATTTTGTATATTGATACATGTTTAGGCTATTGTTATCATATTGCACTATACACTTCTACCTCTGTTTAAGATATTTTGTATATTGTCACAATTTTTAGGTCATTGTCCTTATATTGTACATCTATTTACAGATTGCTTACCCTGTTAATGTGAATCCTTAGTCTTTAGATTATTTTGGTAGAGAAGACTTATAGATTAATAGTCACCTGTGAGTGTCATATCCATAGTTATGTTAGTTAGGTTTTCCAGAGTTACAGAAACTTATGTCAGATGGATAGGTAATCTTCAAACACTTCATAGACCTAGAGAATATGGCATTTAAATATTTTGATAACTTAGAATTCTGTTGACATGAAACACAATTGCTCCTGGCAGCACCGATCTGATCCCGAGAGAATGTTGGTCTTTTCAGACACCCCATTTGGAAGTTTGTCTTCCTGGTACAAAATGGCCTGCTGGGCAAAGAACTGCCCATGCCTCAACTGCTGATGTATGCGCCGAGATCCTGAACGGAGGTTGGCTCATCTGCAACCTCCCACTTTCCATCTGCCTGGCCGCTGGACCTCTCAGCACAACACTGGCTGCTTCGATTGGTGAGTTTCCCTTAACCAGTCAGTGTAAATGGTTCCCTGGACCCATGGGAACAACTGTCGATCATCCAGTATCCTTCTGGTGTCCTTGGGGTTAGGGGTACCCCGTCCACGATCTTTATCAGCTATGGTCAGCCCCCACCACTGGCTATACCCTCAGCCATTCCCCATGACTGTGGTCTGAGAGATTGTTCCTGTTCATTTCTCATCTGTCGGACCCTCGTCCTCAGGCTACATTGCCCCAGCCCTTACTCCTTTGCTCCACCGAGCACTGACTGACTTGTACCACTCATCAGTCCTCGCTTGATCTCAAGGACGCCTGAGATATTTCAGCCACTGGATCTTGCTTTATTTATTTATTTATTTATTTATTTATTTATTTATTTATTTATTTATTTATTTCTCTGCTGCAGCCATGGGGAACAAGGCTTCTGATCTCATTAACCCCACATCTCCTCTGGGATGCCTTTGGAAAACCCTCAAACCTCTCAGCTTAATGCCTTACTTAAAGACTTCTAAGACTATCTGCCTCTGCACTAAAAAATGGCCTAAGTATCCCTTAGATAACAATAAAAAATGGCTGCATTGGAACCCGATATTTTATGGGAATTATCTAACTTCTGTCAGCAAACAGGCAAATAGAAAGAGTTACCTTATATCCAAGCCTTTTTGTATCTCAGCTCCAAACCCTCTCTCCTCGATTCCTGTTCACCTGCCCACGTGCTCCTATGAAACCTGAACCAGAAGAACCTCTTACTACTGCTTTAGACCCTGCTAATGAACCCCCGCCTTTCCGACCTCCTGCTCCTTCTCCTCCAGTGACTGCTCCTTCGGCTCCTCCAGCTCCTTCCTCCTCTCAGCCTCTTCTTCCTCTCCGATGTTGGGCCACTCCAACAGCTCGACTTTGGCTCCTGCCTCTACTCCTCCTGTCACGTGTTCTCGAGCTGCTAAGGAACCCCACCCCAGTCAGGCCAACCCGACAGCCATTCTCCCTTCGCAAGAGGTAGCAGGATGGATGGACTGGTTAACGTACATGTCCTTTTCTCACTGGCAGAACTTTCTTAGATAGAGAAAAAACTGGGTTCTTATATGTCTACTTCTACTTCCTTTATCAAACAATTCCAATATATTACTCAATCCTATTGTTTTACCTTTCATGATATATACATGATCCTTGCTAATAGCCTACTTCCTGAGGAGCTCAGATGGGTTTGGGAACAGGCTAGAATACATGCAGATGAGGTCCACCAGACTAATGCAGCCCATCCTCCCAGAGCAGAAGCAGTTCCTGATCAGGACCCACGATGGGATTATAATACCCCAGTGGCTCTCTAGATAGGGATTGCTTTACGACCTGCCTCCTAGCAGGTCTTTGTAAGACTGCACTTAAAGCAGTAAACTATGAAAAGCTAAAGGACATAATTCAGGATAAGGAAGAGAATCTGTCTCTATTTCTAAAACGACTTACAAAGGCTGTCTTACAATATACTAATCTAGATCCTGAGATCCCAGAGGGCAGACAGCTCCTCATGACCCATTTCATCTCTCAGAGCTTCCCCGACATTAGGGCCAAACTTAAGCATCTGGAGCGAGGGCCTCTGACCCCACATGCAGAAGTCTTAGTGCTGGCTTTTAAGGTGTACCATGGGAGAGATGAGAAATCCCGTAAACAAGACTGCCAAATGCTGGCACAGGCTATCTGACCAGCTGCCTGAAGGCCCCCCAGGTCCCTGTTTTAAATGTGGTTGAGAAGGCCATTGGGCTTATACCTGCTCTGTCCCATGTGGGCCACCTGGGTCTTGTCCAAAGTGCCACCAACAGGGACACTGGTCAGTTGACTGACCTTGTGCACCTCATGGCATGGGGACATCAAACGCAGACCACCCTCCAGTCGATCTTGGCAATGGATGATTGAAATGCCCATGTTCTGACCCAACAACAGTCATCTCCCACGGGGAACCTGGGGTAGCCATTACAGTATCAGTGTGATCCATTTCCTTCCTTTTGGACACTGTGGCCACTTACTCAGTCATGAGGGAGTTTTGGGGTTCCACCTCTCCTCTTCATCTCCCTATTGTCAGGGTAAGGGAGGGTAGTCCTTACCTAACTCATCAGACCCCACAACTTAATTGTATTTTCAGAGGTATCTCTCTTACCCACATATTTTTGGCCATGCCAACCTGCCCTGTGCCCCTAATGGGAAGAGATTTTTTTTTAGCTAAGGTAGGAGCTTCTATTTAATTTGCTCCCCCCATTTGCCTGACCTCAGACTCACCAGCAGCTCCTCTCCTCCTCCTCCTAGCCACCCAGCCCACTAACTCTAACATGTCATTTCCCTTGCCAGCCTCTCAGGTGGACCCTCAAGTCTGGGACTCTCAAAACCCTTCTGTTGCTAGGCACCATTCCTCCACTATTATCCAGTTGCAGGACCCTCCCTGGTACATCACCCAAGCTCAGTACCCCTTCTCACTCCAGAGGCATAGGGGACTTAAGCCTAACATCTCTGACCTTCTCAGAACAAAGCAACTTCACCCAGTGTCTTCTCCTTTTAACACCCCTATTCTTGCAGTTAAGAAGTCTAATGAAACCTACTGCCTGGTTCAAGACCTCCAGCTCATTAATTCTGCAGTGGTCCCCCTCCATCCTGTGGTGCCTAACCCTCACACACTTCTTCCCACTGCCCCTTCAGGAACATCCCATTTCTCAGTTCTAGACCTCAAGGATGCTTTCTTTTCTATTTCTCTCAGCCCTCAGTCTCAAAATATCTTTTCCTTCATATGGACTGACCCTGACACTCACCTGTCTATGCAGCTGACCTGGACTGTTCTGCCACAGGGATTCAGGGACAGCTCACACCTATTTGGTCAGACTCTGGCCTCTGACTTGCTCTCTTTGACCCTCCTTGGCTCTAAACTCATACAGTGTGTAGATGACATTCTACTCTGCAGTCCATCATTACAAGTTAGCCAAACTAACACCTCTGCTCTCCTAAACGTCTTATCCAGGGGTTATAGGGTCTCACCTTCCAAGGTCCAGCTGTCCACTCCTCAGGTCACCTATTTGGGTCTAACCATTACCCCAACCCACAAGGCTATTACTGTAGATAGAAAGCATCCAATCCAGTCTCTTGCAGTCCCCTCTACTAAACAGGAGATTCTATCCTTTCTGGGAATAGCTGGATTCTTACAGTCCTGGGTTCCATCTTTTTCTCTCCTTTCTTGTCCCTTATATGAGGCAGTTCTGGGCTCCCCACATGAACCCCTCCTTTACCCTGTTACTAAACCATTCCAGAAGCTCCAACAGGCTCTCCTCCAGGCCCCAGCACTTCACCTCCCGGACATAATTTGTCCCTTCTCCCTTTATGTAACAGAAAGAGAGGGATATGCCCTTGGAGCCCCAGGGCACCAGCTGGGACCCTCCTTTGCCCCTGTAGCATATCTGTTAAAGAAACTAGACCTCACCACTCAGGGCTGGGCACCTTGTATATGTACGTTAGCAGCTGCTGAGCTCCTTATTCATGAATCAAAGAAACTAACCTTTGGGTCACCCACCACTATCTTCTCCCCCCACAGCCTCTCCCATCTCTTAACTTATAAAGGCTTACAAACTTTACCTCCTTCTCCAGTTCTTTCTCTCTAAGTGTCATTACTGGAAGATGCAACACTTACTTTCCAGACTTGCCCACCCTTTAATATTTCAAGCCTCCTTCCTCAACCTAATGCTGACTATTCTCCGTCTCATTCTTGCACTGAAACCCTAGAGGAACTATTGCCCCATCCTTCACACATACAGGAGGGCACATTGCCTCAGGCCATTTATACCTGGTACACAGATGGCAGCTCCTTTTTACATGAGGGGACCCGTAAAGCGGGATATGCTACAGTGTCAGATACTGGGGTGGTAGAAGCACAGGCATTACCTGCACACACCACTAACCAACAGGCTGAGCTGATAGCTCTCACCCACGCCTTCCAATTGGCACAGGAGCAATCCCTAAATGTTTATACAGATTCCAAATATGCTTTCCATATCCTCCTGTCCCATGCTGCTATCTGGAAAGCAAAAGGAGGATCCATATCTAACTCAGGCCAAATAATGGCCATGATAAAAGCCTCCCGTCTCCCCAATGCTATTGGAATTATTCACTGCTGGTCCCATCAGACCGACAGCTCCACCATCTCTAAGGGAAATAATCTGGCCAACCAGGTAGCTAGGACAGCAGCCCTCCAGGGCCCAGACCTCCCCCACCTACCACAGGGAATCACACAGTACAACCCACATCCTCACAGTCAGCCCCTGACACTAGGCAAATTCTGTCCTATCTACATCAGCTCTTTCACGGTAATAGTCAGGCCTTGTCTCAGTTCATCAAAGCCCACCTACAGCCCACAGCTGAGGACTTACAGTTCTTAAGAACTATTACTGCCTCTTGTAAAATTTGCCAAAAGTCAGATCCCAATTCCAAATATCGAAGCCAACCTTTTCCAACCCACCAGGCCAGGGGCTCCCTCCCGGGGACTGACTGGCAGCTCAGTTTTACTCATATGCTCACTGTCAGACAAATGAAATATCTTCTCGTGATCATGGACTCTTTTTCAAGCTTGGTGGAGGCATTTCTGGGTTCTAACAAGCAGACTTAGACAGTCACTGACCTCCTCCCCTGGGAAATCATTTCCCGATTTGGGGTCCCTTACTCTCTTCAGTCTGTTGATGGCCTGGAGTTCACCTCCCAGACTTCCCAGACCCTATCTAAAGTTCTTAACATTCCTTGGCATTTCCATATCCCTCACCATCCTCAGTCCTCAGGGAAGGTAGAGCGTACCAACCGCTTTTTTAAAAAAATTCTTATTAAGATGTCACAGGAACTTCACCTTGACTGGGTAAAATTATTGCCTCTGGCTCTTTTCAGGCTCTGGGCCCTTCCCAAGCAACCCCTTTCAATTGTGCCATTCAAACTCACGTATGGGAGGCTGGCTCTAACTCCAGTCCTCCTATCCAAAGCTTCACCCCTCCCTGACCATCTGCTCACCCCCCTACTCTATCACCTCCATTCTCTCCTATGGAATTTTGCTGACCATTCCTTATTCCAGCCATATGACAACCCCTGCCCACCCCCAACCTACACTGGGAATCAGGGCCTTCTTTCGCCTCCAGACCAGCACCCCTCACCCCTTTCCCCTAAATGTCAGAGACCCTTCAAGGTAATTCTTTTTTTTTTTTTTTTTTTTTTGGTTTTTCGAGACAGGATTTCTCTGTGTAGCTTTGCGCCTTTCCTGGTACTCGCTTTGGAGACCAGGCTGGCCTCGAACTCATAGAGATCCGCCTGCCTCTGCCTCCCGAGTGCTGGGATTAAAGGCGTGCGCCACCACCGCCCGGCCCCAAGGTAATTCTTGTAACCCCCACAGCTGCTAAGCTCAAGGGCTTTCCCCACTGGATTCATCTGTCTCACCTGAAGCCTTTTACCCCATCCCCAACCCAAGGGAATTCCTCCTCATACACAATGATGAAAACAGGGCCCTGCTCTCTTAAGTTCCAGAGGACACCAGGATCAACTGCCTTGTCTCCAATTCCAGAAGAATGAGGTTTCATCCCACAACCGTACTCAATCCCACTGGATTGGAACCCCATGTGTTGTTTCTTCCTGATTCCCCCTCCAAGTTCTCCTGTCTCTACCAACCACATTCTGCTTCATCAGTTTCCCTCTGTGTCTCTAATAACAGATTCAAATTTCTAATTAACTACACAGCTGTTACAGGACCACCATTACCTGTAGAGTCACAGGCACAAGGACCATCAAATATACCTAGGTGGTAAGAAACAGAGGTATTCACACCCCTAGACTCAAAAGGGTCTGGACTCTGCCAAAAAACAGGCTTTAATATAACAATTCATTTCTCTTAAATGCTCTCAGCACTTAATTACCTGTGTCTCCTGGTGCTGAAATAATAAAAGGAAACAGGTGCCTTAAGGTTTGTCTCAGATGAAGATAAAAAGCCTAATTGATAACAATAAAAAAATAAAGCATGTTCCAGATTTCTCCCCCCTCCACCTCTCTCTCTAACACTAACCAATAGAATTCTGATAGCAGATTACTAAACACTATAACATCATGGCTACCAGCTCAAGATTTTAAATTCCCTTTGGTTGCTTCTTAATATGCTTAAAATTCGTCTCCTTTGTAAACTTAAAAATTCTTCCGAGCTCCAGAGCAGACAGGTCAGATCCACTTCAGATAAGTGTCATTCCAACCTTCTTGGTCCTGGGACCCCCTCCCTCACCCTGGGACCCCTCAGGGACCCCTCACCCCTCATTTCATCTGCTCTCTCCCCACAAGGTAAAAATTTTTTTCTGAACTTCCTCTTCTGCCTTGCCAGCACCTTGTCAGATCCAAACAGTCAGATCCAAGTGGCAATGGATGATTCCACAGTGGCGAAGACAATACAGTTACCTCAAAAGGCCTGGCTACCTCAAGAAAAGCCCCTTTTCCTACCCCCAAAAATTAACAGATGCCCACCAAGTCAGCTGGAAGCAGTTCTGGGAGACACGGCGCTCCCATTCCTGTTCACCTGCCACTCCCAACCCCCTTATTTTTATAATAACAAAAAGAGTGGAATGTTATAATTTGTAGCCACTTCCTAGTTACATGACTGTGTATGTGCTGTTCCAGCAGTCAGGCAAAATGCTTAGTCACCCCAGGGCCTTACGTCCTATGTAATCTATGTGCCTCATGGTCACGTAATCTGCACACAGCGTGATCACGTAATCACGTAATCTATGTGCATGTGTGGCATAGCTATGTAAGCCCATGTGTGCATGCATGGGGAGACCTATAAAATCAGATTCCACCCATTCCCCTGCTCTCTCTTCCACACTATTCATTTCCAGTATGCCCATTGCATGTTCCTCCTTTCCCTCCCCTAATAAAACTCTTGTAGTGGGTTTTGTTGTACCTCATGTTCTCTCTCACCTGGTAAATAGTACCACAAATAAATAACACACACTGTCCTTTCCGGATGAGCAGGACACAAGGAAAAGCGACTGCTGAACCTTGCCAAGACAAGCCTTGCCAAGACAAGGTAAGGTGGTCTTTCAAAATTCCTGCTTCTGAAAATGATCTGTCAGATATTCTAGGCCTGTAGCCAAAAATGGATGCCCCAAGGATGATGAGAAACATTAGTTGACTGTCCAGGCTGCCATCTGTCTCTGTCAATTTTTACAGTTTTCAGAAGTTGCTTGCTTATACTTCCTGTTTACTTGGGTAATATTATTTTACTTCTCAGATCTTTGATGGGGATGAAGACTAGATAGTTACAGTTATAATCCTCTCATATCTTAGCTAAGAACATTTTAGATACTAAAGTTAGAATTTTTAGGATAGGACAGCTGTTGGAGTAATCTTGATAATTTGCTATTTACCTATGATCTGGACATTTCTGGACATTTAGCATGTGTTTCTTGTTTGATGTTGTTCTTGTTGGTTGTAGTTCCATTTTTGTTTATGTTATTATCCTTTGTTTTTCCTGGACAATACTTGATAATCATTCTTATTGTATATGGTTTACATTACGTTTAGAACTTATTTAGACAAAAAGAGGAAATGTAGTGGTATTTGCTCCACCCATGACCTTGGGCTATATGGCCCGAAGGAGGCAGTGCTTCTTGCCATTGTACATGACCTGTTAAAAGGAAAGGGAGAGAGGTCATGAGGTCCCTGCTCCCTGCTTCCTGGTGTGATCCACCTGCCAGGTGGATTCATTCCCAGTCAGATCAGAGGATGACTTCAGCTGTCTACTTGGTTCTGTATTCATGAGTGTATTTCCTCAATTTATATCCTAATACTCCTTAAGCAGACTCCCGTGGATTTCTTGCATTAGCTCATCTCTGTCTGAAGCATCGGGTCTCGTGTATAATTTTAAATAAAAACTTTAAGGATTATTTTTACTTTATATGTATGGTTGCTTTACATGCATCACATGTGTACCTGTGGAGGTCAAAAGAGGGTATCAGACGCCATGGAACTGGACCTACAGATGCTTAGTCACCATGTAGATGCTGGGAACGGAACCCAGGTCCTCTGCAAGAGCAGCAAGTGTTTTTAGCCACTGAGCATCTCTCTAGCTCCTTGTTGTGGGGCATACATGGGCTGCAAAGAGTGTGCTGAGAGAAAGTTTGACAAATAGAGCTTAAGCTGTTTACACAGAGAATAGATACAAATGGTGCCAGAGGAAGTTAGTTTAAGCTGTTTAAGCAGAGTGTAGATACAAAGGATGGCTGAGAGGAAGTTAACTTGGGGTGTTTGTATGGAAATTAGAGACAAATGGTGAGGAAGGAAGTTAGCTCAAGTTGTTTGTGCTGAGATAAGATACTAAATCAAGAGATGATGTCAGGGCATAAACCATTTGTAAATAGGGTGACCTTTAAAACGATTGGTCGGTTCCTTCACCCCCTCCTAGGGCTCTGAGGTTTTCTGGTATAAAAGAGGCTTACTGCCTACCAATAAATGAATTCTTGCTTGACTTGACTTCGTGCTGCATCTGATTGTCTCTGGGTAAGAGGGAGGCTGGGGAACGGGCGAGCGGTGCGCACTTACCTTTCCTCGGTTCCAGGCCACCTCTTCACCCGTGACCTAAGTTCCCAGTAGGGCAGAACCCCAGAACTGGTGCTCTAACATGGGGTTTGAAGTACTTCGGCTGAGGCCAAGTGGTCTTCCAGGGTAAGTGAAACCCTCAGTATGGATAAGGCAACCTCCTCAAGTGATAAGCTAGCCCTCAAGGTCCCATGTTACATGTTTAAGTCTAGAGGGCTCGGAATTTCTAAAAGTAATGCTATCGCCATCTGGGAGACCGTAATTCTCCTTGCCTTTTGGGCCAACCTTATCTTCTATAGCACCTGTGCCCAAATGGAAAAGCTGGCAGGAGAAAGGGAGAAACATTTTGGCATACTGCCACTCCTGGCTTCTACCCCACCATCACAGCCCTTAAGGTAGCTTTTTACCAGGATTCTCTGCCACCCCCTTCTCAGATGTCAAAGAGGGAGATTCTCCCCAAGGGTTAGAAAAGAAAGAAAAGAAAGAAAAGAAAACAGGTCCCCTCCTGGGAGCCAAAAAGGATGGGGAAAGGACATGCGAGATGCGCAGAGAAATATACAGTAGAGGTTAAAGCAAAAGTAAAAGCCACTGCACCTGAGCCCTGCACCCCAAGGGATTCTGGCCCTCCACCTTGGGACCCCGGGGTTGAGGCCGGTCAAACACCATACATTTCATTAAGGAGAAATCTCCACAATATGGACCCCTACAACCAGCCCCTCACCGGGAGGCATGGGTCAGGGGACTATTTGACCTCCGGCCCTAATAGACCTCTAGAGTGTTACCCCTGGGAGGCTAAAGATCTCAAGAAACTCTGCAAAGCAGTAGCGAAAGATGGGCCAGGCTCTCCATGGGCTCATACCTTACTACAGGACATTGCCTGTGATCCCTGTGTCCCCAAGGACTGGTTAGATCTGGCTAAGGCTGTCCTTTCCAGCACCCAATGTGTCTTCTATATGGAGGAATGCCAGACCAGGGTAGAGGCCAATCGGGTGGCCAACCCCCCCATCCCTATCACCTATGACATGCTAGCAGGTACACCTGAAGGGTACTTTATGGAGGTCCAACAGGCGGTTGTGCAAGGTCTGTACCGAGATCAGGTTGGACAAATGGGGCTTGTAGCCTGGAACAAGTTAGATAAAGGGCCTGCCAAATCTCCCATAGCAGGAGTAAGACAAAAACTCAATGAACCCCCACTGGCGTTCATAGATAGAGTCCAACAGAGTATGGAGTTAATTTCCCCATTCATGGTTGCCCTCAAGGGATTACTGGAGGGACGGGAATGCCCCATACAACATATGGGGGGACATTCTGGGCTTCCAGGATTTCTGTCCGAGGGAAACCGTCGAGCTGATGAGCTGGCATTGGGATTTAGGATGTATTGATCTTAAAAGATAGTCCATACCTACAAGGCATGCCAACCCTTCCTAAAGATACCCCCTTTACAAACGCAGGGAGGTAACCCCAGAGCAAAATATCTTCTGACAAACAGATGTTAAACTTAAACATGTTTTCGTTTTAATAGAGCAAAAGGGGGAATTAACGCCCATGTTCAGTTATTCTGCACCCCGCAGCCATCATGCTCTGGCCTCAGGGCTACAAGGACATGCGCATCAGGCCCCAATCAGGGTCTTCTGCTCCCCAACCACCCCTTTGTGCCCCTTGTGGGGCAGGAGCTCCTGGAGTGACAGTCCCTATAGATGTGATGACAGAATACAGGCTTGTGGTGGTGGGTGCTGGAGGTGTGGGAAAGAGTGCCCTGACCATCCAGCTGATCCAGAACTATATTGTAGACGAATATGACTCCATCATAGAGGATTTCTATTGGAAACAGGTGGTCATTGATGGGGAGACACGTCTACTGGACATCCTAGACACAGCAGGTTGGGAGGAATGTGGTGCCCTGCAGGACCAGTGCATGCACACAGGGGAGGGTTTCCTCTGTGTGTTTGCCATCAACAACACCAAGTCCTTTGAAGATATCCATCAGTACAGGAGCACATCAAATGGGTGAAGGACTCGGATGATGTGCCAATGGTGCTGGTGGGGAACAAGTGTGACCTGGCTGCTCGTACTGTTGGGTCTAGACAGGCCCAGGACCTTGCCTGCAGTTATGGCATCCCCTACACTGAAACATCAGCCAACACTTGGCAGGGTGTGGAGGATGCCTTCTACACACTTGTACATGAGATTCGGCAACAAAAACTGCGGGAGCTGAACCCTCCCAATGGGAGTGGCCCTGGCTACATTAGCTGCAAGTGTGTGCTATTGTGACATCAGATGGCAGTACTCCAGCTGATGGTCGTCCTGCTCTTCCTGGCTCTGGCTGCAGCCCAGAGGGACCCACCAACCTCAGCGGGTGACCTGGGCAGTGATCAGTGCTGGTAATGGACCTAGCCAGAGGATCCTGGGACACTGAGGATTAGACTACCCTTTCATAAAGGACTTCAGTTCTCCCAAGTCCCCTAAGCCTGGCACCCATAGTGGGGACACAGTGGACTCCATGGATGGCCTTCTCTCCCCAGAGGTCTCATTCCCATACCCACTGCTGCCCCCATATTCTTCAGCCTCCCCCTCTTCCCTGCAGCAGCCTCTGACACCCACCCCAGGAGAACCCTACCACCTGCTTCCAGTATCTGCTACCACTTCCCAGGGCCCCACTACTGGCTCCTCAATGTCCTCAGAGCCTGGGGACAATGGTGACTATACCGAGATGGCCTTTGGTGTGGCCACACCCCACCACCGAGACCCACCTGCTCTTCCCCACAGCCCTCGCACACAGCCAATGGTGAAAGTAATGTCCGGTGCCCCGAGCTGAGGCGAAAGCTGTTTTTGCTGCTGCCACTGCTGGGTGAAGCCCCGCTGGGCCTCTACTTCTCAAGGGATGCTTACTGAGAGAGGCTGTATGTGGACCAGCCAGCTGGCACACTTCTGCTCTATATCCATGCTCTACAAGATGCCCCTGAAGAAGTCCCCAGCTTTCACCTGGGTCAACATCTTTCCTCACATGGCTACATGAGAATGATTGCCTCTACATCCATTAGGACACTAACCTTCTTTACCTCAACCAAAAACCTGGACCGCAGTTCCTGGGAACCGCTCAGCATTCGCAATGGTGGCTTCCCTTTGCTTACATCTTCCTCCAGGTCTTCCTGAGGTCCGCAACCCAGCGGGAGGACAAATGTCATTGGCCAGGCTATGCCCATATATACTTCTCCTTCATCAAAGACTCCTTCCCAGCGTGTAGCTCCTTCAAATCCCAGGACCTCTAGGCTCTTGGAAGGGGAAAGTCTGCCCTTCTGTTGCAACCCAGACATCTTGGAGGTGAGCACCCGCTGGGCCCTGGACCAGGAGCCTCAGGAGAAGTATGTGCAGGAGGCCAAGTACATGGTGGACACTGATGCCAGCGAAGAGAAGGTGACTGTGTCCTTCCCGGTGACCATGTATGATGAGGATGACTCAGTGCCCACCTTCTCTGGAGGCGTGGGGCTGACAATTCTAATTCTAGTAATTTCTAAATGTGACTTGGAACAGCCTTCTTTTAAAAATCATCAGCCGTCTTTAGGGGTAGGGATCGGGAAGGATAACTCCCTCTTTGCACCTTTAACTGGTTTCTTAACTCTTCTCTCCGTGAATGTTCATGTAAATACTTTAGATAGTAAAAGCCTTTTCTCCTGCCCACGACATTGGTAAAAAGAGACTTTTTAGAGAAATCCCCTGAAATTTTTAACTACTGTTGGGACTAGGAACCTAGACTGTGTTTGCTTCATAACTAAATCCTCCAGGGACAGTAGGGCTGATCTGCTAACTGATTTTCTGTGTTCTCAATAAATGTTGGGTTTGACTTGAAAAAAAAAAAGGAAGAAGAAGAGAGGGGGGAAATACCAAACAGGTAAACTTTGTAAAGGGGTGCCCTGAGCCTAAACCCTAAAATAAAGTGGGCTTATTTAAACAAAAAGGGGGACTCTCTGGAGCATACATGGGCTGCAAAGAGGGTGCTGAGAGAAAGTTTGACAAATAGAGCTTAAGCTGTTTACACAGAGAATAGATACAAATGGTGCCAGAGGAAGTTAGTTTAAGCTGTTTAAGCAGAGTGTAGATAACAAAGGATGGCTGAGAGGAAGTTAGCTTGGGTTGTTTGTATGGAGATTAGAGACAAATGGTGAGGAAGGAAGTTAGCTCAAGTTGTTTGTGCTGAGATAAGATACTAAGATCAAGAGATGATGTCAAGGCATAAACAACCCGTAAACAAGAAAATGAGTATAGGGTGACCTTTAAAACGATTGGTTGGTTCCTTCATCCCCCTCCTAGGGCTCTGAGGTTTTCTGGTATAAAAGAGGCTTACTGCCTACCAATAAATGAGTTCTTGCTTGACTTGACTTCCTGCTGCATCTAATTGTCTCCAAGTAAGAGGGAGGCTGGGGAACGGGCGAGTGGTGCGCACTTACCTTTCCTCGGTTCCAGGCCACCTCTTCACAGGTGCCTAAGTTTCCGGTGGGGCAGGACCCCACACCTTGTTTGAAATTTTAAATGGGCATGACAGCCACTGAAGACTCCACCCTTGAATGTGTTGAGGTGATAATGACCCTTGACTTTAGTTTCCAGACTGAGGGAGTATTACACACCACCCATAGGTCTTAGACTTGGAAGGAAATAGAGAGGACAGATGAACTTTGGTTTGACACCCTTGGAAATGTTGTGGATGTTACCTTGTCTGGGTGGGAGGATTCACAGTGGCTATTTTGGTAAACACTAGGGTGGACTATTTCAGTTACTTTAATTGTGTGAATTTTTTTTTTTTTTGGTCAATATACTTGCATGATTACCATAGGTTTTTACAGTAGTATGTTTTGAAAGAGACAACAGGAATCCTTCAACTATATTCTTTTTTTTTTTGAGACAGGGTTGCTCTGTATGTAGTCCTGGCTGTTCTGGAATTCACTCTGTAGACCAGGCTGGCCTCAAACTCACAGAGATCCACCTGCCTCTGCCTCCGAAATGCTGGGATTAAAGGTGTGTGCCACCACCACCCGGCAAACTATATTCTTAATTTTTAGTATCTTTGGCTCTTTTACGCTGTTTGTATTTTCATAGAGGTTTCTATGATGAGTTCTGGGATTTTGACTGAGATTTCTTTAAGCTGACAGGTGATTTGAGGAGAATCCAACATTATTGAGAAATCTGGACATAAACATTGTATACCTCTTCATTTATTTGATCCTCTCAGATTTTTTATCAGTGTCTTGAAGTTTTCAGCATAGGTGTGCGGTATAAGTAGGTGCAGCAAGGGACCACCCAACACTGCAACTCCCTGGAGAGAGGAAGCAGTTTAATAATACAAAATTGCCAGGCTGCTTTGGAGAGCGGAGGACAGCACCCAGCTGCAAAAGCTTGCTGAGTTTTATCTGGGCATCTAGCAGGGGGAGGCTGCTCAGATGTCGGAACCGTCAGGTGGTTAGTTTGGGGACTGTTTCGGACACAGAAGGTGCTGACAGTTGTGGTCGGGCACATTCAGGCAGCCATTAAGGGCTCCCGAGAAATGGTTTAGGTTTCTGTTACTAACAAACCCCTAGCTCAGGTGGGTGTCAGGTCAGGACCATCAGCATTGCCACTGTGGGGCCTGCTGTGGGGACCTAAAATGTTCCCGAGTGGACTTTATGTGGTGTATATCATTTAAAAATGATTATTGAAGGCCAGGCAGTGGTGGCACACATCTTTAATTCCAGCACTGGGGAGGCAGAGGAAGGCAGATCTCTGTGTGTTCGAGGCCAGCCTGGTCTACAGAGCAAGTTCCAGAACAGCCAGGGCTATTACACAGAGAAACCCTGTCTCAAAACAAACAAACAAACAAACAAAGATTATTGGAAGTGTTTTTTTCTAGTTGTTTATTGCTTGAACTGAAATATTGTTTTCTTTGAAGGGCTGTCCAGTGAATATTTTAGACCTTGCATGCTGCACTCTGGCATTTCATCCTCACCTCACTGTACCTGCTCGTCACTGCCCTCTGTTTCAAACCGGTTTTAAATTTAAAAACCACTTTTAACCTATGGGCCATAAAAAATAAGGTCAATGTACGTTTGGTCCAATGTTCAATTTGCTGAATGCTAGAGATACAAATGGGTTTGGTGTTTGTGTGCTGAGCAGGTATCATTACCATCAGAGTACAAACAATGGCACGTCTTTAATCACAAAACCTGTCCTTTGGACTCGCTTTCTCATCTGTTCTTGCTTCATGACGGAGCAAATGTCTTCATAAAGTCGTCGTTACCTGGGGTACTAAATGTCTCATTTCCTTCTCCGAACAGGTTTTGTTTTTGCCCAGGATCGTGGTGATGTATGGATGCAGAGGCTTGGAAGGTGTGGGTCTTTGCACTCCACAGACTGCTACAGGTGCCTGTGAAATTCTTAAAAACACAGCTTGGCCTGCTCCAGGCTGGCTGCAGTGGGGTCCTGACCATGGAGAGTGCTCCCTCTGCAGGACAAATTGGGAACAGCAGGCTCTGAAAAGACTAGTCTTCCTGGGATCCATACGCATGCTAGTGATTGTTGTGGGAATTCTGGGAAGGGCACACACCCCTTTCCTGAAGGCTGTAAGGCCTGACTCCTGATGTCCTTGATGACAGGACAGAGGCGGCACTGAGGCTAAGTAGATGGAAGCTGGGAATGTGAGGGGTGGTCCCTAACATCCTGCCACCATCAGGGTCACTGACTTGCCCCACCCACTTCTCGTGGAAGTTCAGCAGAGCCTGACGCCCTATGGTTTCCTCAAATTTGAAACATTCCGTCCAGGAGGGCGGGGAAGGCTCATGAGACTCAGTAGACAGACAGACATCTTCTCTAGCTAGCCAGATTCTTGAAGCTCCCCTCCAGTTTTGCAGAAGGAACAACTGTTGGGGAGAGACTCAGGGAGCCCCAGAGTTGCAGATTTCCTGAGTTGTCACCCTTGTGGTGGTGGACTGTTCCGGCGATGAGTCATCCCTGCTCCTGTGCGTAACCCTTCACCCATCCCCATGTTAGAAACCTCAATAAAAACTCATTGATTTGCCCAGTTGGACTTTGGTGTAATTGCTACTTTGGTCTGTAGTCAATGCTGTGTGACACTATCTGGAAAGATGTGAACAAGACAGGGAAACAATGGCAGACCAAAGTAATGATGCTACCCAAGGCTAACTTGGTGAACCAATGAATTTTATTAGTTACTTACAGGAGTATGGTGGAGGGCTTGTTTACAGGACCAGAAATGACTCAAAGACAGTTGCCTCACCAAAGCCCACCCCCTCGTGGGTGAGAACTCACAAAGCTGGGACCCTGGAGCACACTGCACAGCCTGCACTGTGGAGGATGTCCGTTCCAGGTAGTTCAGCTGCTCTCAGCCTCTTTCTGACAGCTCAGCCTATCTCTGCTCCTTCCAGGCAGCTCCACGGGCCTGAGAGTATCTCCCAGCAGGCCTTACTGCTTTAGATACGCTTGAGGACGGAGGGGGTCTAGCTACTAAATTGTTTATTCCCTGCAGGATGGAATGTTTCACCTCCCCTTAGATCAGTGGTTCTCAACCTTCCTGACGCTGTGACCCTTTGATACAGTTCCTCATGTTGTGGTTCCCTCAACCATAAAATTATTTTTGCTGCTACTTCATAATTGTAATTTTGCAACTGTTATGATCATAATGAAAATATCTGTTTTTGCCAGGTGGTGGTGGCATACATCTTTAATCCTAGCACTTGGAAGACAGAGGCAGGCCATCTGTGAGTTTGAGACCAACCTTATCTACAGAGCAAGTTCCAGAACAGCTAGAGCTGTCACACAGAGAAACCCTGTTTCGAAAAAAATAAAAAAATTCGTGTTTTCGCATGGTTTTAGTGCATTTTAAACATTGGTGCTGGGAACTGAACTCAGTTTCTCACAATTATGCTGCACTTCCTTCACTGACTGAGACATCTCCCCAGCCTCAATTTTACTATTTATTAAAGATGAAAGTTCATCAACATGTTTAAAAAAAAAGAATGCCAGCCAATCAATAAGAATCTGTCGTGGCCAGCCATTACTAAGAACTCATTAGGTGAGAAGGACAAAATTTAAAAAACAAAACAACCCAAATCATCATTGTTTAGTTAAAATGAAAGGAGTCTATAAAATGGCATGGCCGTGGCTAACAAGAAGGAGCGTGTTGGCTTGGAAAGACTGCTCGGTGAGTACAGGCCTTTGCTGGCAAGCCTGGTGACCCGAGCTTGCTCCCAGGACTGCTGTGTGGCATTTGGGAGTTGTGAGCTGTGCTGGAGAGAGCTTTCTGGTGATGTAGTTGCTTTTGAGCCATCCCCGTTCCTTGTAAATAACCCTTCATTCATTTGTAACCCCAATAAAAAAACTCAGCCGTTCACCAAATTGGACATTGGTGCAATTGTTACTCTGGTCTGTCATAGGCTGCTTTCTGGGATGAGTAGATGTAGGGGCATGTGTGTGCCTGCATCTCCCCAGGAAGAGTCTGTCACACAACACTTGGTGCTGGGTCACGGGACACGACAGGACCGGAAATGCATCGCAGAGGAGTGGTGGCATGATCCTGGCTATGGGTAACAAAACATAAAACTGAGGCCGAACAGCTTTAGGGCGGAGCATCGGTGGGAGAGGGATGCCAAAATGGCTACATTTCCCGAAATGACAAGAGATAGTGTGCCTTCTTATGTCAGTAGTCACATGATCTGGGATCACAAACCAGGGATCCAGAGCCCAGCTGGAAGAAGAGAGCTGAAGCTGACTTGGGTTCAAGCTGGGGAATGCTGGGAGGAGGGGAGGCATGTGGTCAGGGGGCACTGGGAGGCACCCTGAGCAGCAAGGGCCCAGGCAGGGCAAGGAAGAGTCTTTTTTCTTGAATGGAACCTGAATGGCGTGTTAAACAGTCTATATAGCCATAATTGATATTTTTACATAGGCTCTGGAAAGAGACAAAGACACCAAGGCCTGTGGACAGGGCCAGGGGCTAGGAAGGCTTCTGGCAATCAGGGAGGGTATGGGACCCAGGACAATGTCGGGCAAGAGACAGTGTGAAAGAGGAACAAGAAAAGAAAGAAAAAGAGGAGGAGGGAGGAGGGAGAGGAGGAGAAAGGGGAAAGCAAAGGGAGGACTCAACTAGGAAGACATGGAGGAGCAAAGTGGCCGGCTAGAGTCCCAACCTGCTTGCCAAAATCAGATGGAAATGACCGTTGCCCCAGTTACCCAGAAACCCCCAACCCCTGGTCCAGTTAGCTTCTGGAACTATGTCAGCCTTTTAACAGTATCCACTCCATCCCTAGTCAGGACCCTACACAGAGCCCCCCACCAGCCACCTGTCATCTTCTCTCAAGAGCAGTGTTTGCCCACAGCCTCCCCACTCCTTCTCTGGAGCCCTTTTGCCCCTGGAGGATGCCATGAGGGGCCAAGTTGGGCTGAACCAGCTAATACCTCTTAGGCCCAGCTACCTTCGCCCAGCCTGAGAAAGTAGGGTTAGGCCAACTGTGTTAAGGGTTAGGCCAACTCTGTTAAGGGCTAGGCCAACTGGGTTAAGGGTTAGGCCAACTCTGTTAAGGGCTAGACCAACTGGGTTAAGGGTTAGGCCAACTCTGTTAAGGGCTAGGCCAACTGTGTTAAGGGTTAGGCCAACTGTGTTAAGAAAAGGCAATTTATGGTCATAAACCTCATAAACCATGGGTACATTGTCCTTAAGATTGTACACTCCTTTGTGGGATGTAGGGCAAGATTGGGGGTGTGTACAAAGGTGATTCGCCTTATTGCAGCACCTTCTAAGGATGGGGTACAGTAAATAAAAGTATTTAGGTGCTTGAGGGCCAGAAGAGCAGGACCAAGCCAAGCCTGGCCTCAGGGCATCTCTCAAGTTAGAGGATAGCAAGCACCATTTCTGGGTGCAGAGCTAAGAGGCTCCATGGTGCCCCTATGCCCTCAGCACAGCAGCACAGCCTGGAGGAATCCATGTTCTGCCTCCAAGAAGGCCAAGGTCTGCGTACAAACAATCAGGAATAAAGACCCCAGCCCTGCTAGGGATTAACCAGGTCAGACTGCAGGGATAAAGGGCCCAGCTGCCAGAACACGGCTGAGGCAGGGCTGAGCTTCCGGGCAGGGGGGGGGGGCACATGAGGGGTGAAGCTGAGAGGGGTTCTGAGGACACCAGGTCCAGGCAAGGGAGGGAGAGCCAGGGAACACCGAGTGAGTCCTGTTTCCACCCCATCTTGCTCTGACTGTGGGACTGGCCTCCCACCTTGGAGAGGCACTTCCTGTTGAGGGTGTTAAAGGATTGAAGAGAAGAAAACGAAAACCGAGCGAGGGGAGAGACTGGCGATTATTACTGAGTTGCTGTGAACAAGTACTCTTCTCGGTTCCAGAGTGTGGGAAAGTAGCTCTACTGTATGCCGGGTCCTCTTCAAAGATGTGCCTACTGTGTGCAGTGTCGGCATAAACTCTGCTTCTGCAGATGTTCATTCTGTTTTAAATTACATTTTCTATTTATTATTCGTGTGTGTGCGTGTGTGCGTGTGTGCGTGTGTGCATGTGTGTGCGTGTGTGTGTGTGTGTGTGTGTGTGTGCGTGCGTGCGTGCGTGTGTGTGTGTGTGTGTGTGTGTGTGTGTGTGAAGGTCGGATGATAACTTTCAGGAGTCAGTTCTCTCTCTCATGTGGGTCCTTACATGACAGACTTTTCCTGAGCAGACACAACATAACACACATTTACTCACCCCAGAAAGAGAGCCCACGGAAGTCCAGAGTAACAGCTGCAGCAATGTCCAGTTTAGGAAGCGAATGGGTTTTTTAATGGGGTTACAAACAGGAGTGTAGGTGAGGGGCTTCATACAGGAGAAGGGATGACTCAAACGCATCGCCAGAAAGCCCTCTCCAGCATGGGGTGACAGCTCCCCAAACTGCGAGCATGGAGCTCTCCACACAGCTTGCAGGAGGCGGCACACTCCAAAGTCTTCCTTTCTGCGTTCAGCTTGTCAGTCTCCCTAGCAACTGTTTACTCTGTCCCCGAGCAATTCTTTACTCTGCCTTTGACTGCTGGATGGGGCTCCCCACGAGTCTTCCAAGTTCCAGTTTCCCTCCACATGGGTATTTGTTTATCTCCCTGGAGCAAATGTTTCATTTTGGGGAGAATATTGTAATTCAGAGGAAAATGTCATACAACACTCTACTCTCTCCTCTGGCTTCCTACATTCTTTCCAACCTCTTTCCCTTCCTCAGAGTTTTCTGAGTCTTGAAGGTGAAGATAAATGTCCATTTCTGCCTAAGAGTCAGGCCACTGAAGCCTGGCAGTGGTGGCACACGCCTTTAATCCTAGCTTTCAGGAAGCAGAGGCAGGCGGATCTCTTGTGAATTCAAGGCCCACCTGGTCTACATTGTGAGTTCCAGGAACTGCCACTTGTGTCCATAAATCAGTGTTGTTGTCAGCCTCAACTCACAACCACTAGTGGCAGTTAC